TGCATAGAAGTCGTATAGCTCATAAGGCAAAGGGGGCTGAGGCTGAGGCTGAGGGCTCGTAGCGCTGAAAAGGGTCGTGGGATTCGTATGGCTCAAAGGGCTTGTAAGGGTCGTGGGGCTCATAGGTATCGTTGGGCTCAGGAGCTCATTGGGCTCATGGGCTCGTAGGGCTGATATGGGGCTCATAGGGCTCGCAAGGGAGGGTCTCGGGGACCTCTTGGAGGGCGCGCAAGGCTCATAGACGTCATAGGGTTCATGGGGCTCGTACGGCTCATTGGGCTCGTAGATGTCGTAGTGTGCCTAGGGGTCATCAGGGTCATTGGGCTCGTAGGGGTTGGGAGGCTAACGAGGTCGATCGGGATGCAAGGTCATATGGCGCATCAAGCTCATCGGGGTGATGGAGCTTGTGGGGCTTCCAGGAGGGGGCACTTGAAAGCATTTTGGGAGCTTTGAGGGCGTCATAATTAGGGGCACCTCGGGGGCTTCTGGGGGCCTTGATGGCGTCTTGGAGGCTCCGTGGCAGTGTCCAGGACCAGCTTTTGGGGTCGGGCTCAATCGATTTGCCCTTCTTTGGGCGATCTGGAAGCGTCTTGCGGAGCCTTTTGAACAATCTGAAGGTCATCTTGGGCCGTTCTGGCGCCTCCTGAGGAGCCACTTTCGCCTTGGAAGAAGCGAGACCGCTGAAATTCGCCGGCCCAACGGGCCAGAGGCGTGCTAAGATCTCCGGTAACTTGTTAACAATATTTCTAGTTCGCGCGCGCGGAGCGGCCCCTGGGGGCCCCCGGACGAAAAGTACCCCGGCAAGGTCCCGAGAGAAGCCCGGGAGAAGCCACCAGACCACTCCAGGGGAGGGTATTTTTCGACACCCCTCACGAGGATCGTGGCCTCCGAGGGGGGAGCCGCAATCGACTACCCCCAAGAGCCCCCCAAGAGGCCCTGGGGGCCTCCAAAACGCCGCCAAGGAGCCCCAAGAGACTCCCAAGAGGTCCCCAAGAGGCCCCCAAGAGGCCCTAAAGAGGGCTCCAGGGCCGGCGGCATGAGCGAAGCGATTAAATAATCAAACAATTATATGAAATCTTCTGATTAACATCTGGAGTCCTCTGTGGGGCATCTTGGGCTATCGTGGAGCGGAACATCCCAACCTGAACACCAGGACCCGAACACAGCCATACTCATACACGTTAGCCATGAAACCCTCCCTCTCCTCCTCCTCCTCCTTCTAGACCTTCTCGGCCTCCTCGTCCTACTCGCCCTCGCCCCGTCCTCCTCCGGGAATCACACACACATACACACATACACACATACACACATACACACATACACACATACACGCCTGTCGGAAGAGGTGGGTAGAGACTTGGCGTAGGAAGGCGTGGGGAAAAAACACTGGGCTGCCGCCCGCCCCCTGGCGAGGAAGGAAACAGCGGAACCACACGATCCTTTAAGTGGGAAGGCGCCCAAAGGCATATTCCCAGACATGCGACGTCCTGTTTTTCTCAGGACCGCGTCCCTAGAAGTCCCGACCCTTTCCCTGGGACCGGTTTTTCGTCCTGAGCCGTTTTTTGACAGCCCCGAGGCTCGGCGAGGGCCTCCAGAGGCCGAAAATAGCGAAAACCTTGCCGTCCTTATTTTTTGTTGTACGACGCGATCCTGCCTGGGGCTTGAGATTATCCCGGGGCCCGGTTTTTTCGTCCCGAGCCGTCTCTCGACGCTCCCGCGGCAGCGAGGGCCCCCCGGGGCCGAAGGTAGCCCAAAACCGCCCGTCCTCACTTTTGTTACGATCCGGGCGTGTCTGGGCCGGGATCTGAGAGTCCCGGAACACCTGCTTTCAGCGACAGGCGCCTGGCCAGGGAGGCATACCGTCGGGCTTGACTGGAGAGGACGCGCGAGAGGACACAAGACTCTTTCGGGGGCCACCTCGCCACGGGAATGTCCGCAGCATGGGTCGCGAGACACAGGACACAAGGGCACCCTTGATCTGGCAGGATCGACCTACTGATCTGGGCCGCCTGTATACACGGCTCCTGGGCCCAGGACGGGCCTCGCCAGGAGCAGCGGATGCGTATAGATCTCGTCGCCCAAACAAATATACCACTTGCTCCCATCGTACTTCAGGACCACCTCCCAGAAATTTCGAGCACCCGGAAAAGTGTCGAAAGGGTGTTGAAACAGTGTCGGACGAGTCTCTCCCAGGGCCCGACGCGCGAAAACCCTAGAGTTTCGGTACTTTTCTGGCGCTCGAAATTCTTTATGGTGATCAAGGCTAAAGTAGGCTGGAACATCATAACACTACCAGCAGCTAGGAGGGTGGCCGCTCCCTCCCCTCGAGCTGGTGGCACCTCCTTCCAGGCACTCTGTGGAGGCATGCCCGGAACGAGGTGCCACCAGCTCGAGAGGGTGGGACAGCCTCCCCCCTTAGCTGGTGGTAGAAGTACTTGTCTCTGGTGAAAAAGGCGGCTGTACGAAAGAATGACCTCAAGGCAAGAATGACCTTTGGGGTACGCGGAGTAGGAAGGCGCGAAATGGCCAAATCCAAGCGCGTAAGCAACCGCTATCGCATCACGCTCGGCGATAGGAGAGCCTCCGATAAGCTTCAACCAAGGGTCACCATGGCGAAGAGCAGTCATTTTTACATGTAGTCGAGATAGAGAAAGGCACATCAGATCAGCATCGGTCCCCAGACCCATCCCTGGGTCCATCTGGTGCAGCTTGCACCCCCGATCCGTTTTAACAGTGCCAAAGAGTCGAAGGCGGCCCGCGACGATCGGAAACAATTAAGAGCCTGCCTTCCCGAACCCAACGCCTCGCTACGCCCAGCTGGCTTGAATTCGAACACACGTGCCGAAGAGCACGAGCACGCAGCCCGGGCGAGTGGCGAGCGGACGTACGTGGTGGAGGGCTGGAAATGGCCACCAGCACCAAAACGGGGGGGAGTCTCCAACGGAAGAAGATGATCCTGGATGCTGGTGTTGGTGGTAATTGTTTGGCCTCCTAGGCAGCCCGAGTCCTTCCACCACTCGCAGCGAGGACAAATTGAATCCACCCACAAACGATCGACGACGACACGCGCGGGAAGGGGGCAGACGCGGGAACAAGAACAGTGCATGAAGCCAGGGGAACAAACAATACACAAAGGCCGAACTCTCGCAAGTCCGAGAGGGCTTCTTGGACCTGCGATGTGCTCGGTCGAGGTACACCGCCGACACACACTGTTCGGAAGAACTAGGTAAACGCATGCAGCACAATAGGAAAACGTACAGAGCAGGCTGGGTTCAGCGCCCCCCCCCCCAGAGAAGAACAGCAACACAACAAAAAAACATGCGCCGACTCTTGAACCAGGATAGTGTTTTCGGGGATCTTCTGACCCGGGTCACAATCCAGACCCGGGTCAGCAAGGCCTCTCAGAATCCTGCAAGATCCTGCACCCAAGCCCAGATCAATGCGAAGGATCCTGCGTGATCTTGCAAGATGCTGCACCCAAACCAGGGTCAATGCGACCCTGGCCCTGGAGCCCCGACGCTTTGAAATCCGCCGACCCTGTCGGCGTGTGGACCCCCTGTCGGCGTGCGCTCAGGTCGACGTATCTGTTCTCCTCTTCCCCTGCGTCTCCGTCATCCCTTTCCCTGCGCCCTCCTGTTCAAGTCTGCCAGCAAGAGAAAGCCGTAGCAACGTCGCACTTCAGTCGAAGGGAAGCCGGTTCCCTTTGATCCCTCCCCCGCCGAAAGGAGGGGGTCCCGGGTCCCGGGGGGGTCTGGGGGGGGTCTGGGGGGGGTCCCGGGGGGGTCTCGGAGGGGGGGGGGGGGTCAGATACGCATCCGCACCTGGGCGTCCCAGACGAACTGACATTTCGAGCTTCCCGCCCCAAAAAGCCCCCAGAAGGCCCCAAGGGCCCCTGAAGGGGCCCGAAGAGGCCCCCAAGAGACCCCAAGAGGCCCAACAGAGGCTCCAACAGGCCCGAAAACATCCAAGAGGCCTTTCAACCACAACCCCAGCACGGTGGCGGGAAGGGCCGCAGGCCACAAGGCTCCCTGTCTGTCTCTGCTACGACTCCTTCGGCCCACATGGGGAACATCTCCTTCGCCTTCTCCTGCTCCCTTCCACCTTAATCTCCCTCCTCCTCCTCCTCCTCCTCGTATTCGTCGTCGTCGTCTTCAGGGTCGGCGGCACCGGCCGTAAGGCCTTAGCAAAGATTGGGCTCCGGGAGTCCAAAAGTACCTGCTGTCAACGACAGACGCGTTATTGGTGTTGGCGTTTCAGTCCCCAACCCGCACGCCGGCACTGTTTACGTCTTGCTCTACCTCGTACTCAGCACCGGCAGCGCCCGTGGGTGCACCGACGCCGCGGCCTGGCTGCTGCCATGGCCCCCAACTGCCGCTGCTGGCCGCGCCGGCGCACTCAACCCCAAACGTGCGACGTCCTGATTTTTTCAGGACGGCGTCCCTGGAAGTCCCGAGCCTTTCCCGGACCAATTGTTCGTCCTGAGCCGTTGTTTGACGGCCCCGAGGCCCTGCGAGGGCCTCCAGAGGCCGAAAATAACGAAAACCTTGCCGTCCTGATTTTTGTATGACGCGATCCTGTCTGGGGCTTGAAATTCTTCCAAGCCTGAGTACCTTCCGCCTCCTCCTGTCCTCGGGGGCCGTCCGTCTGTCTTGCTCCCCCTCTTGCATGCCGGCCAATTCGCGTATCGGCTGCCCCGGATCGCTGCTCGCTGGTGCGTCTTCGCCTCGCCGCCGACGACAACAGTACTGGTGTTGGCGTAAGCTTAAGTCGGGCCAGTCCCCCTACGGGGGGGAAATCAAAAAAAAGTAAAAATTTGTTTGGGCACAATGTATAACTATTTGTTGATTTCTTTACGCGTACACTTGTTCGATGTATAACTTGTAATCAAAAATCCACCTGTAGGGGGACACGCCCGACCTACGCGTAAGCTTCTTGGCCCCCCATGGTGGAGGGAGCCCCAGGGCACCCGCCGAAGCAGGCCGCCGCTGACAGCGGGCCGCCTGGGGCTCCACCGTGGAGCACTCCCGCAGGTACTCCTGCGCGGTTTTTGCGCGCGGGGGGGGAGGAAGAGGAGGAGGAGGAGGAGGAGGAGGAGGAGGAGGAGGAGGAGGAGGACGAGGAGGAGGAGGAAAAGGAGGAGGAGGGGGAGGAGGAGGAGGAGGAGGAGGAGGAGGAGGAGGAGGAGGAGGAGGAGGAGAGGAGGAGGAGGGAAGGAGGAGGAGGAGGAGGAGGAGGCGGAGGGGCGGAGGAGGGGACGACGAGGAGGAGGGAGAAGGAGAGGAGGAGGAGGAGGGAGGAGGAGGAGAGGAGGAGGAGGAGGAGGAGGAGGAGGCGCGCGCATCAACACGGCGAGGCCGCGCGGCGGCGCCGGAGGAGGAGAGGAGGAGGAGGAAAGGGTGGAAGAGGAGGAGGAGGAGAGGGGAGGAGGAGGAGAGGAGAGGGAGGAGGGAGGAGGAGCAGGAGGAGGAGGAGGAGGAGGAGGAGGAGGAGGAAGGGGTGGAGGAGAGGGAGGAGGGGGGGGGGCAGGAGATGGAGGGGGAGGGAGAGGGGGAGGGGGATGGGGATCCGACGGGGGTTGTCTGGCGAACAAAAGTTGTACGTAAGGCTTCGGGCTGCGCACCCTCGAATTGCACCGCCCGCTCCCTCCGCGCGGCAAGCGCTGCGCTGCCGTTGCCGCCGCTGCGCGCTGCCGCAGCGGAGGCCACCGTCGAGGACGCGGCGGCGGCCGCAGCGGCACCTTCCGCGCCGAAGGTGCGGAGGCGCGGGTCGAGAAGAGGGGCGGAGCCCAAGAATAAGGGAACGAACAATGTTACAAACATAACAACTCGGAGGTCTGGGCGGATTTCTCGGATCGGCGCTGTGGCCGAGTTGCTATGTTTAGGTCATTTTTCGTTCCCAGAAGAACATGAAGAACAGAAGAACATCCTTCAAGAACGTGAGGTCCTCCGCCGGCCAAACACCACAAACCATAACATCACTCGAGGGTACCCTTCTCCTGGATGCGCAAGAACATCCAACAAGCACGAAAAACATGTGGGTACCCTCCCCGAGCCGACCTCGATCTTATACCTCGGT